ACCCCAGGAGGTTTGGCCGGCGGCCCTCGCCCCTTCCTTCCCGCAGGCGCAGGCTTGGCGGGCGGAGCTCGCCCCTTGCCATGCCCCCCGCCGCCCGCGGGCCGGAGTTTCGGCCCGGGCTGAGATGGCGGCGCCGACGCTGGGGACATTGCGCCCCCCGCGCGGCCAAGAAGCCACCAACCCATCGCCCCTTGGGCCGAGAACGCCCCACCAACCGCCAAGATCACGGCATGCGCCCCGAGGAAGCCCACGGCCATGGCACCGCTGGCCCGCGCACCCGCCACGAGGCTGGTAGCGCCGGCCACGTCCGCACACCCGCTCCCCAGAGCTGGCGGTGCAGGACGCTGCGGTTTTGGCCGCCCCGCGGCCCCCCCGGAACCCCCGAGTCCTGGCTCGATCTCGAGCCCACGACTACGGACCCCAAATGGCTAAGGCAAAGCCCCCACTTCCCTACGCTGAACCTGCAGTTTACCAACATAACAGACTATACAAATGGCGCCCTCCAGTAGATGGACAATATATTCGAACCCTTACACATTCGAGGGAGATTCTAAATCACCCCTGCGCCCCCGACATCAATGTTGATCTCAGTAAAAGCGGTGTTTTGGGATTCGAATATTTCTGTCCACACACGCCCCCCCCACGTCGTCACGCCATCAATATTAATTTCGGGGGGTCTGGGGGGCATCTTGGGACACAGGGTTCGAATATAATGTCCATGTACGGTCCCACACCAAACAACCCGACGCAAACGCCAACGTGTTCAAAACCCTGCGGTGGGTGCGTCGCCAGGTGGGTTGCGGGTGGGTCGCGGGGCCGACCGCGGGTTGTGGGTCGCGGGGTGGGCCGCGTGCTAGTTCGTGAGGTGGTCGCGGGGTGGGTCTCGGGTAGGGTCGCGGCGCTGGTCGTTGGGCAGGTCGCCGGGCGATTTGTGGGGACGACACCAACATGACACATCGGTAGTCCACACCGCGAGCCCCAACTTCAGCCACTCACCCGGGGATGGCGGTTGACTGCTCGACCCTTCTGCTCTGACTGCACCGCGCCTCCGGCAGCCGCGCATCCCTTGAAACTTCAGCTTCGTCCATGAAACTCCCTCTCTCTCTCGCACGTTCTCTCTCCGTCTCTCTCTTTCTCTTTCTCTTTTCTCGCTCTCTCTCTCACACACTCTCTCTCCCTATATGTATGTATATACATATATATATATAAATGCATATATATATATATATATATATATATATATATATATATATATATATATATAATATATATACATATATCTATACATATATATATACACATATATATATATATATGTATATATATATATATATGTAGGTATTCCTCTCCCTATACTTTGATAAGCCTGGGCGGCCCCCCCCCCTCCAAAAATTATCCTGGCGAAGGACCCAACCATATGCAATTGTGAATACTGCAATTGTGAATATCTTCTCGGTGGAGCCCCCTACGGGGCCACGAAACGTACGAGGGGTGTGCCGAAATGGGTGTGCGGGACGCATGCGGGCACACCCACTGGGGCCTTCGGTGGAGCTCCCTATGGGGCCACGAAACGTGTGAGGGGTGTGCCGAAATGGGTGTGCGGGACGCATGCGGGCACTGGGACCTTCGGCGGAGCTCCCTATGGGGCCACGGAACGGTGAGGGGCGTGCCGAAATGGGTGTGGCTGACGCATGCGGGCGCGGGCACTGGGGCCTTCGGCGGAGCTCCCTATGGGGCCACGAAACGTGTGAGGGGTGTGCCGAAATGGGCGTGGCTGACGCATGCGGGCGCGGGCACTGGGGCCTTCGGTGGAGCTCCCTATGGAGCCACGAAGCGTGTGAGGGGTGTGCCGAAATGGGTGTGGGTGACGCATGCGGGCGCGGGCACTGGGGCCTTCGGTGGAGCTCCCTATGGGCCACGAAACGGGTGAGGGGTGTGCCGAAATGGGGTGGGTGACGCATGCGGCGGGGCCACTGGGCCTTCGGTGGACTCCTATGGGCCACGAAACGGGTGAGGGGTGTGCCGAAATGGTGTGGGTGACGCATGCGGGCGGCAGCACTGGGGGTGGAACTTCCACTCTGGGGCAAGAAACGTGTGATGGCCGAATTGGGTGTGGTGACGCATGCGGGCGGCAGCACATGGGGCCTTCGGTGGAGCTCCCTTGGAGCCACGAAACGTGTGAGGGGTGTGCCGAAATTGGGTGTGTGACGCATGCGGCGCGGGCACTGGGGCCTTCGGTGGAGCTCCCTATGGAGCCACGAAACGTGGTGAGGGGTGTGCCGAAACATGGGTGTGGGTGACGCATGCGGGCGCGGGCACTGGGGCCTTCGGTGGAGCTCCCTATGGAGCCACGAAGCGCGTGTGAGGGGTGTGCCGAAATTGGGTGTGGGTGACGCATGCGGCGCGGGCACTGGGGCCTTCGGTGGAGCTCCCTATGGAGCCACGAAACGTGTGCCGAGGGGTGCAATGGAGCCCGAACTTTGGGTGTGCCGAAATGTGTGTGGTGACGCATGCGGGCGGCAGCACT